ATAGAATGATATCTATACTGGTAGAACTGTAAAATATTCCTGTGCAACTCTCAGGGGACAACAGCAGGAAGGAAGAATTGGAATGTTTATATTTTGCAAACTTGCTTGCTTCACTTAAAATTTGGTAAAACTGACCACTTTGTGTCCTGTGGCTAATATGGTAAGTTTGCATTTAAAATTAAAGAGCTATATATTTTTGAATTTATATTATGCAATATGCAATGTATTTCTTCATTCAAAGAGTGCTTGGTGGTCTTCGGACATAGCATGGTATGGGATACAGTTAAATCCTCCCGCTTGGCAAGCAACTGTAGGAATTAATTTCAAAATTTGACAGCTTTAAGCCTTTTGTACTTTGGATGACTGAGATGTGTTACCTTACAGGTGTCCAGCATATCAAGAGAAGGGACATTTTGCCCAAGTGGGAGCTGGGTGAAGGGGCTTTCGGCAAAGTCTATCTGGCCGAATGTTACAACCTGACTTCAGAACAGGAGAAGACCCTGGTGGCTGTAAAGGTAACTCAAAAGTACTATGAGTGCTGCCATAAAAATAAAAATACATGCACTTTTTTTGTTTTATTACTTTTTTTGGAGCCCATTCTGGTGAAGTAATGCATGTCAATACCTCAAAGGTGTGAACCTGGTCCTAAAGTGGTTCCAAAGCAGCCTTTCTCTTCAACCGTTTCATCATGGAGGAACCCTTGGAATAACTTTCCGCTCTCAGGGAACCCTTGTTAAAAGTCACTATATCTACAACACATGATACGTTAGCGCGATGATCAATGAGAAGAATACTCATTACATTTGTGATCATTAGGAGCAATTACCCCCTTACAAACAGCTGAAAAGATTAATGGTGTCAGTGGGAACTAGTCTAAGAAGCAGAAATTGCTCATTGCTCAAGCAACCTGTAGAGGAACCATAGGGTTTCATGGAACCCTTGTTGAGAAACCTTGTTCTAAAGGCTCAAGGTTTTTTACCTGCATCAGGGGTGGAATGACAACTCATGGGGCCCCCGGGCAATAGGGGATCATGGGGCTCCTGTGTCCTTGCCCACACTCAAAAAAGCCTATAAAAAAGGTACCAGGGGCATTTCATGGGGTCCCCTACTGACCCCGGGCCCTCGGCCAGTGCCCGAGTGCTGGAATAGTCAGTCCATCCCTGATCTTCATGCATTCTTTGTAGGAAGGTAAAAAAAACCTTCTGGGTGCAGCTCCTCCCTCCAGCCCCACCTTATATTTAGCTGGGCCCCATCTCAATCCAGCAATGTGCATGAGAGCAGCAAATTTCCATGGGTCTCTCTCTCCTCATTGACTCACACAGCAGCGGAGCCAGTGAGAAAATGAGGAGAGAGCGGGGCCGAGCAAAAGGCAAATAGAGTGTGCACTTTGCAAAGTGCAGTTGCTTAGTAAATGAGGTAAATCTTCACTTTTCAAAGAATACCAAATCACGTGCAAGGGAAAAAAAAAAAACGGAATTTTTGTTCGCACACGATTGGATGATGGAAGTCAGCAGAGCTTCTGCTCATTTACTAAGCTCTGCAGCAACTGTTCTTGCAGGGCGCAACTGCACTTACAAAGGGCACAGTCTATTTGCCTTTAGTAAATCACCCCCTAGAGCGCTACTCAGGGGCGAGTCCAATTGAGGTCCCCCATAGCAAGAGTCTTGCTACTGGGGCCACTCAGTTGATGGGGGGCAGGAGCCAGGACCACCGACGGGGAAAAGGAAGAGAATCTGGTCTGCTCTGTGGAAAACTATTGCACAGAGCGGGTAAGTATAACACATTTGTTGTTTTTTTTTAATTCTTTCCTTTAGAATCACTTTAAAGAATACTTGGAAATTCTCAGAAGAGCTGTCTGATTACCTGACGAGTATTTGATTCTTAGCACCTTGCATTTGGAGGGTTAGTCCATGTAAAAAAACTGGCTTCTCCATTTTCAGTAGATGCAGGACTTAGTGGTTTCTTATATTTCTCAGGACTCTTAAGCTATATCGCAAAAATCCCAGATATGCAAACAAGCCATGGACTTTCTGGGTTTGGAGAAGGATTTCCATTCTCTATATTGGGTTTGATAATTTCATGAAATTGGCAAAGCGTTTTCAAAATGTAGAAAAACCCTAAACGCTAAGATGGCTATTAAGGGGGTCAAGAAATATAGCTAGTGGGAAGCAACTTCTAGAACCTCTGAAAGATTAATAAAGCCAATGCGTTACACAGCCCACAATAATCCATTTATAACTGAAAACGGTTAAGGGTTGGTAGGCCGTATAACACCTTATGTCTGTATTGAATCTCTTGGCCCCTTGAAAATCTCACTCTTGGAGACATCTAAAGCAACCAACCACTTCAACTTGTTACGATCACCCACCATTGATACCTTTGGTTAGCCTTTAGATCAGCCTTTCTCGACATTTTTTACCCCACTGGAACCCTTAAAATAATTTTCAGGTCTCGGGGAACCCTTGTTAAACCCAATTCATTGGGTGTCAATGAGAAAAATGCCACTTAAGTTGGTGGTCAGTGGGAAGAATGCAACCATTACAATGGTGGTCAGAATGTCATCCTTACAGACAGTTAAAAAGATCACTGGCGTCAGGCTAGCGGCTTTGCAAAATGGCATTGGTCTTGGAATTATGCAGACACTGACAGACGAGAGCTCAAACAGCCACAGCTCAAGGAACCCCTAGCAACCTTTTGGAGGAACTCTAGGGCTCCATGGAACCCTGGTTGAAAATGGCTGCTTTAGATCCTTCTTGAAATGACACCAGTTAAGATATTGCTCTGTCCATTTAATACACTGATACATCTTTCCGAATGATAAATGTTTGTGTCCTTCCAGGCCCTTAAAGAAGCAACAGAGAGTGCCCGACAGGACTTCCAGCGTGAAGCGGAGCTTCTAACTGTCCTACAACATGAGCACATTGTAAAGTTCTATGGCGTGTGTACTGATGGAGAGCCCCTCCTCATGGTGTTTGAGTACATGAAACATGGAGACCTCAACCGCTTCCTCAGGTCAGAACAAATCACAACCCATAGATATCAATCACAAGGGAGGAATGATATTCAGGGCTTTGACTTTCAGCAAAAATCCGGAGATTTGGACAAAATTTCACCAGTTTAATGAGAAAGTCAAAATTAAGGTGGTTTTAGTCACTTTTAATGGTTCATTGGAATTGAAATCTTCTGGTTATAGAAGATTCTTTGTAGTAAATCAGTTTTGCTCAAATAATTCCTATCATCCAATCACATACTCCCGGTGCAGATTATGAGAATGAGTGATCTAATTTTTTCGCACATTTGATACCGTACAACCACAACTTCATATTTGCTATTAAAGCATAACACATTTCCATTTTTTTTCTTGGCTGAAGAGGGGATCTCTCAATGTATTGCTAAGGTCAACAGACCATCAGGAGACATAAAAGTTTAAAACAATTATACAAAATGTTATCATAGATCAAGCAGGATGGCATCCCAGGCGATGAACCCCGCTACCATCTATTCACCACAAAGGAGGGGAACTGTCAAGAAGTCCATAGGCAGGAGCATTCAGAAGGCCGTTGAGCCACATATCTGTCATATAAAATGACCACCCAGCATACCCAGGTGCTATAAGACATTTTATATGTCATACATTTGTCCCAACAGGCAGAATGTTTGCCCTATGAATGCACCCTTTATAACAGAAAAGGGTGTAATTACAGCCATAGCAGTCCATACAGCTGCTATGCGTTCTAGGCACATGAAAGTACCCATTTGTGAAATAAATACACTTCATCATCTAACTATATTCATCAACTTACCTTCTCTGTGTAGGACTGATGGCTTAGTTATTGAGAAGCTTGTGCTAGTTGAACTCATCCACCTGCTTTAACCAGTAAAGTTCGGGTTTACTACAAAAAGAGGGGCAGCTCTTCTTCGGTACAGAGAATAGGCACAGCATGGAAGTGGCTAATGGGAAGCCCTGCCCGCTCCCCAAGGACAGTGGAGTTATTTATTCAGAATGGTTGGTGGCTACATACCTGTTCTGTTACAGTGGCCACCATTGTTAAGGAATGGAATGGGAATCCAGTAGAGGTGCATTATATCCTGCTCTTCGCTGACTGTCAGTATTAATGGGGTACAATATAGGTCACCTGCCAAAGGTGGTCAATCAAAACTTTGATATGGGGCTCTTTGTTGTATAGTTACACCCAGGGGCAGACTGACAACTCATGGGGCCCCCGGGCAATAGGGGATCATGGGGCCCCTGTGTCCTTGCCCAAACTCAAAAAAGCCTATGAAAAAGGTACCAGGGGCATCTCATGGGACCCCCCTACTGACCCTAGGCCCTTGGCATACATACAAACAGGCATACTCGATGGACCACTCGGTCTTTTCAGCCATCACTTTTCTGTTTCTATGTCATACCTCTATTGTCATCTGTAGCACGTCTCCTCATCCAAAGTTTCCCCCTCCCATTCTCATCTCCCATTATGACTGTCGATCTGCCTCTTCTAGGCAGTCATCTCCCTGGCTAATGCACTCCTCTTTGCAATATTGATTAGATTAGCTGTCTGAGAGGCTTAAATATAAGGAGATTGTACATCACTTGGAATAAACAGAGACTAGGTGATTGGCCCCGCAGGTATTAGAACTAGACATTGCGCTGCCATTGCCGTCCAGCAGTGTCCGGGTCCTGAAGAGAACAGTACAAAGACACCATTTCCATGGTTATTGACACACATCGGGACACAGTGCAAAGCCTCTGTCTTATCTTTGGCTTCCAATTCCAATGTTGCATGGTCGGCTTCAAAATTTTATATAACCATAGACCTTTAAATTAATTGTTCTTTGTAGTTTATAGCCAGCTACAGAATTTGTTACTAAGATGTAATGGTTCGAATCCAAGGTGCCCATTTATATTTCGACTTTGTTTTCAATTTAGATCCCATGGACCAGATGCCAAGATTCTAGATAACGGCAATGGGCAACCTTTCGGGCAGCTGAACTTGACTCAGATGTTGCAGATTGCCACTCAGATAGCTTCTGGTATGGTTTACCTGGCTTCTCTCCATTTCGTTCATCGGGATCTCGCCACAAGGAATTGCCTCGTGGGCAACAACCTAGTTGTCAAGATTGGTGATTTTGGGATGTCACGGGATATCTACAGCACGGATTACTACAGGGTAAGACCAAAGATGTCAAATGTTGGCCTTAAAGGTCAAGTCTACCCAAACCTGTTTAACTTTTTTTGTGAATACCAGCACATTGGACCACTTACCATTTTCTTACATCTCCTGGGGAGCGTAGTGGAGTAATCATTGTGCCTGTGCTCCCAGTGCCACCCACCAGCCTTAGTTATTATTAAAATGCTTGTTTCACTTTTGTGTGGAAACCTAAATGCTGAAATTCCAATTTCTTACATCTCTAGGCAACTGTGGTGTTCTCGTGTTCCCAGCTTGACCCACCTGCCTCAGCCATTACAAAAGTGTCTACATTTCTTGTTAGGTTTTCCATGTACACACAGTGGCCAATTTATTAGGTACATCTATCCAGTACCTGTACCATTTACACCTAAAAAGTGGAAATGGACAGCAACAATATTCTGCTTAAGATGCGATGTTCAGTTCGTTTTTAGTGCTTATTTTCTCACATTGTTACAGCACAGGCAACAGCTTGAACCCTTGACACAAGACTAGATGGGTCCACAGATTTGTACTTTTATAACCCTACCATCTGCCTTTCACAGCCAAAATCTAGATTTGTCCCATGAGCAATATTTTTCCATTTCAGGTGTCCATTTTGGTGAACTCATGCTTGTTGTGGCTTCATTTTCGTGTTCCTATCTGGCAGGAGTGACAACTTGTCTGACCTATCACTTCCGAGACCTATGTTTTAAAAGTTAAAGTTGTTTTGGATTGAGGATTGTTCTTAAGCATACCATTGTTGTAAAGGGTAGCTTCTGAGCAATTATGGACTTTCTGTCAGCTTGAACAAGCCAGGTGATTCTCCTCTGTCCTCTTGGTGTTTGGTCAGTGCACATAATGGACTAGGAGCATCAGGACCCCATGGTGGAAGGAGACAAAGCCAGGAACTACAATGAGGAGATCTCCCTTTTTGAGTCCACTGAGACTTGGTTTTGGCTGAGGCCACCAACAAATCTAAAATAACCTAAAGTAGAATGACCGTTTAAAGATAGCTGTACAGTTGTGCTTAGCCCATTGCTTTGGTTATTTTTGTCTACTGGAGACAGTAAGAGTCTGAGTTGATGGGCTTTTGTTTGCAGGTTTTGTATTCCCATACAAGTCTATGAGAATGAAAAACCCACTTGATGCAGGTCAAATGCAGGTTAGAATGAGGAAAAATGCAGGACAAATGTACCTATCACTGAATTCCAAATGATCTCAGAAGTGTCTCACACTGATGCCATCATCACAAGCCCAAAGCCTGTTGACAGAGGTCCTAATAGAGGTTTTGCAATGATCCCTTGAAAGTGACCAAGGTCAGTTCAGTAAATACAGCCAAGAGTCTAAGGCATTGGTACAGCTATCAACACTATGATCCAATAAATTAACTAATAGTAAGGTCATTTGAGAAGTGATCTGAAGTGAACTGCCTAATTCCCGACCTTCAGATTCTACATTTATACATTTTTCAACATATTTTCTGAAGTGGAGTTTAGGTCTGCCTTATAAGATGACATGTATATATCATCATAGGTTAGGTTCGCCTTTCTCAACCTTTTCAACACAGAGGAACCCTTGAAATAACTTTCTGGTCTCAGGGAACCCCTGATAAAAATGACTAAATCTACGACTCATGATACATTAGTGTGATGGTCAGTGGGACTAATGCTCCATACACTTGTGGTCATTGGGAAAAATGAACCCATTACAGATAGCTAAAAAGATCAATGGTGTCAGTGGGAACTTATCTGAGAGTCAGAAATTGCTCATTGCTCAAGGAACCACTAGCAACCTCTGGAGGAACCCTAGTTAAGAAGCCCTGGGTTAGATTCTATCTGGATAGGGTAGAGGTGTTTATTGTTTTCAATGCTAGATGCCAAGAAGTCAATAAGGACATAATTAGGTTGCTTCTTACAAGATCTCCGTGAGCCTATAGTGACTGCATTTCCGAGTCTTCAAGCCACTCAGATCAATTTTTAACATTTTAACACTGATGTTCTGATCCTTATCAAATGCACAACAGACAAGAGAGCACAACCTTGGATCCAGAGGGAGGAACGGGATGCTGCTATTTAACTGCTATACTGCCAGATTGCAAGAAAATAGTCTAGATTTTAGAAGCATTGGGCTGCATTTGGTTGTCTAACTTTAGTTTGAAAAGATGAAGTGGTGTTATGACCTGCATCAGCATGGCAGGTAGACACCTAGCATTTTCAGAGGTTAACAGTGGTGTCTACAATGGTATTTCAGTATAGATGTCACGGACAGGGGTCAGGCTCGGAGACCAGTAGCTATAGCAGTAGAGAGGCTCCCACCAACCAGCTGGATAAGTACATAAGTAGGTCCCCATGATGGATGATGTGATCTCACCTGAGGTGCGGGGTCTAAGCACTTGCCAGTATTCACCACAGCTCCTGATGGTGGAGATGGGGTTTTTCTGCATATTAGTACCAGGTCAAGGTCCTCAGGATCGCCCCATCAGGAGGTGAGCAAGACGGGGTCCAGTAGTAGATATAGCAGGTATGGATCAAGCAGAGGCGTAGTCAGCAAACAAGCCAAAGGTCAGTAACAAGTGGTTGCAGGTTGGGATCAAGAGGAAGCGTAGTCAAGGAACCAGCCAAAGGTCGATAAGAAATGGCTGCAGGTTGGGATCAAGTTGAAGCATAGTTGTGGAACAAGCCAAAGGAGCAAGATATTGGCTGGAGAGAGCACAACAGTCAGGCAAAGTGCAGAGGAATGGTTTAAATAGGAAGTTCATGGGAGGAGCAAGGAGTTCAAGGTTTACCAGATACAAGGTGAAAGGCAAGATTATCCAAGGGATTGGACTCCATGCTGTCCAGCTTCTCAGGTGGCTCAGCTAAAAGAGCTACTGCCAAACACAGCAGAGATCGTGGGTGACAATAGAACTCCTTTAAGAAATATCTGTACAAGTATTTCTCTCATGGTAGACCTGCTAATTTAATAAAAGATAAAAGTAGTCTCCCGCTGCTTATGTCTGCTGTATTGAAGATAACCTACCTTCAAAATCCACCACCACAGTGATCTGTGGTTCAATCTGCATTTTGTAGTGATGTAAGGGCTGGTGGGAAGAACCGGCTGGGGACAAGGAATCCAACATTCTTATATGTGAAATTCTGAAGGTTCTTTAGGTAGTGTTGCTTTTAATTACAATAGAAATTGGTGGCTTGAGCAGCAGGAGAAGTGAATATTATGGCAAAAGACCAGATTTTGTGTCACCATGACCCACCTCCCTTCCCTGCCCCCTTGGATTTTTAAAAGGAAAAACAATATGTCTACATTTTTTTCAAGGAAAGTTTAGACCCTTATAATGACTTTATAAGTACTTCCTCTCATTAGTGGTGGTGAGAGGTCCTTCCTTCACTTAGTCCAGGAGTACCCTGAGCCTAAAGTGTGTGAACACATGGCTGTAAGGGGGAGGGTCCATGACAGCCAGAGTCCACAGGAAGTGGGCTTGCTGATGCTTGGCTGTCATTCAGCAAAGAAGACCAGTGGCAACAGCTGGTTGGAGGGAACCTTCTGTGGGAGGCAGCACCAGACTGAAGGTGGATATTATTGCATATACTATATTATTTTAATTGGGCAAAACATTTTTTTTTCATTTTTTGGGGATTGTGGAGTTCTGCTTTAACTGTCTCCTTTGCAGAGAGCAATTTTATTTTGGCACTTTATGAGAAATATTTATTGGTCGCCACAGGTTTCTCATATTGCTCTACTGCATATATGGCTTGTGTTTTTGTTTCCAAAATAAAATTAAAAGCTGGCTGGACAGTACTAGTTACAATCTCCTTGAGAGTTACTAAAGCTGGCCATACACCCTACAATTCTCAGAACATTCGATGAGTGCATTTGACATGGCTTCAAATTTTTGTTTGCTTTTAACATTCGACTTTCCATCCTGTTCCTTTTAATTTTCTTGAAAGTGAATGTTGATTTGACCCTGCTGACAATTCGAAAATCGAACATTCTTAAAACTAAAAATTCTGAACAAATTCTGTTAGTGTATCTCCAGCTTAAAACCAGGTTATATGAGATCCTTCCTAAACAATTCTTTCCATTTCCATGTAATCATGTATTGCGCTACATACACTGATCAGCCATAACCTTATAACCACTGATGGTTATAAGTAAATAGCATTGATTGTCTTGTCATCTGAAAGTGGATGGGATATATTAGCCAGCAAGTACCCACATGGAAAAAAAAAAAGTTAAATATATTTTAAAAATACTCTTCCCAAATATATTGCCATATATGTGAAATACTATAATTTTGGCCATATTCAATATATTTCAAACTATATTGCAATATATATACATATATATATATATATACATGAAAAACATTTTTAAAAATAAATTTCAAATATACTGTATGTCTTTAAAAATACAAATCTACATTTAAAAAAAAAAACAAAATATATATATAAATATATATATATATATATATATATATACACACATATATATATATATATTCTTCAGATTGTTTTATATATAAAAAAATTAATTTTAGCATATATTTTTTACATATATTTGTAAATGCATTTCCAAAAAATGTAGATTTGTATTTTTAAAGACATACAGTATATTTGATATGTATTTTTGAAAATATTTTTCATATATTTTGTAATAAAAATGAATTTCAACATGCAGTGTATATATATATATATATATATATATATATATATTGGGTTTTTTTTGTTTGTTTTTTTAAATATATTGAATATGACCAAAATTGTAGCATTTCAAATATATGTCAATATATTTGGGAAGAATATTTTTAAAATATATTTCAAATATATTTTTCTTCCATATGGGTAAACATGTTGTCCATGAAGTTTATGGGCTGAAAACAAAACAAAAAGGGCATCGCGGTTTGTTGTGTATGGGGCTGCGTAGCAGCAGATTGGTCAGGGTGTCCATGCTGACCCGTGTCCACAGTCGAAAATGCCTGCAATGGGCACATGAACTTCAGAACTGGGCCATGGGGCAATGGAAGAAGGTGGCCTGGTCTGATGAATCACGCTTTCTTTACATCATGTGGTTGGCCGGGTGTGTGTGAGTCATTTACCTGGGGAAGAGATGGCACCAGGATGCAGTATGGGAGGAAGGCA